TTTATATATATAATTTAATTTATATATTAATAAGAATAAAGCTAAAAGTTAAATATATTTTAAAGTAAAGAAATTACTTAAAATAATTAATATAATAATTATATTTATATTAATAAGTAATATCTCTTTTTATATAATTTTAGTAAATACCCTTTTTTATTATATATTAAAAATATAAATAATCTTAATATATATTTAAATAATACTTAAAATAAACTTATAAAATATAATAAAAAGCTTATTATATATATATTAATAATTAAAAAATAAAGTTATTTTTAGTTCTTTCTTAATAATAAGCTATATATATAAATATATATATATTTATTTTTTTCTTACTATAAATAAGGGTTATTTAGTCCTAAGATTAAGCTATATATATAACTATTATATATAGTTATAAATATATATATATCTTACTAAAAAGTAAAGTAAGAAAGTTATTAAATTAATAAAGCTTAGCTTTAATATATATATTAAAAGTTTAATTACTCTTTTATTAATAAGCTATAGAACCTTTTTAAGAAAGTAAATATAAAAGTTAATAAAAGTATTTTAAAGTTAATAAATAAAATATATTATTATTATTAAATTAAAAGGAAAGCTTTTTAATACTTTAAATTTATTTTAAAAAATAATATTAACTTTAATTATAAAATTATTATTAATATTATATATATTAATAAAAGGTTTATATTATATATAATTAATATAAATACTATATATTAAATAAATAAGGTTTTTAAAGGATTTTATTATTATAAATATATAATTAGCTTTAAAAAGATATTAATTAAATATTTATTTTAAACCTCTTAATATTATAAGCTTTAATATAAATATAAGCTTTATAATAACTAAATTTAAAGAAAAAATAATATTTATAAAATAATATATTATTAAATTTTTATAAAAGCTTATTAAAATATAAAAAAGATTAAATATTATTATATACCTTTAAAGAGAGTATATAAAATTATAAAAGCTAAGTACTTAAGAGTTAAAAAGGAATATTTATTTTAAAAAGTAATAAAGGTTATAAATAATATAATAAAGCTTAATAAATTAATATTTATATTATTTATATTTAAAGTAATACTAAAGGTTATAATAAATATAAGATTTATAATAAGTTAATTATAATATATTAAAGTAATTAATAAAATAATAATAAAGCTTTATAAAATTATAATAAAGAGGAAGATTAATAATACTTTTAATATAAGGAATAATTTAAATAAAGAAGAGATACTTTTATAATTACTTATATTAAAAAGTAAAGTCTTTATATAGTATAAGAAAAAGAGTTAAATTACCTCTTTTTATATTCTTATTATAATAAATAAAGAAATTATAATTAATATAATTAATAACTTAATAAAGTTCTAAAGTATTTATATTAAATTATATAATTACTTAAAGAAGTAATTAATAAAAGAAAACCTAAAGTTATTTATATACTTAAAAGTTATTTAATTATAAAGATATAAATAATTAAAAAAGATTAAGAAAGTAATAATATAATAGTTTATAAATATTAAAAAGTAATAAAGCTATAAGCTTATAATTAAATATTATAATAAAGGGTATATTATAACTTTTAAAAAGCCTTTTAAATAATTAAATTAAGAGGAAATTAACTCTCTTTTTATTATAAAAGTAATTATTTTAATTAAATATATAATTATTTTAAATATAAAGCTTTTTAGTTATTATTTTATAAAAGAGGTTAAAGGTATAAAGAAAATACTATATAAAAAGTTAAAGCTAATTATATAAAATTATAATAATTAAGAGAAAATAATACTTCTTATATAATCTTTAATAATTATAAAATATAATTAATAATTAATCTTAATAATTATAATTATATTTTAATAAATAAGAATATAATTAATACTTTAGGATATTAATTAAGCTTATACTTATAGTATAATTAAGTTATTATATAATATAATATTAAATATCTTAAAAGAGTTAAAAGGTTATTATTTAAAAGGAATTATATTCTAAATAGTAAAGCCTTTTTATAATATAGCTAAAGCTAGCTTTTATTAATTTATAACTTATTAAGAGTATTATAAGTAATATTTATATTATATTTAATTTAATTATAATTTATACTTACTTTTAATAAAAGCTAGAAGGAGCTTTAGAATTATAAAGATATAAATAAATAATACTTTTAATCTTAAAAAGTAAGAGTTTATTAAGTTAAAAAAAGTAAAGCTCTTAAGAGTAAGCTTTAAAGTAAAACTAATTAATATATTTACTTTAAAGTTAAAAGGAATCTTTAATAATTATATAATAAAATATTTAAAGAGATAATTAAAATATACTAAAAGAATTAAACTAATTATTTTAAGCTTATAAATATAGAGTAAGAGAGTATAAAAGAACTCTATATAGTATAAAAAGCTTAAAGAGTATATATTATATTAACTTATTAATCTTCTAAGCTATTATAAAAGTAGTTAACTAATTAAATAATTATATAAATAAGGGGATAATTATATTTACTCTTAAAAGAGGTAGCTTTCTTATTAATAATAGTAGTTTTTTTTTTAATAGTTTTAATCTTCTTAAAAGGTATATTATTAATAATAGTATATAATTAGTATATATAAGAGATTATATAAGAAAGTAAAAAAGTAAATAATTAAAAAACTAAAAAGACTAAAGAAGAAAGAAGAAAAGTTTAACCTTCTTAAGGGAGATAACCTTTTTATAGTTTTTTAAAATTTATTAACTCTCTTAAGTATATAAGTAATATTATTAATTTAATTAAGTATAATTATTAAATAAAGTAAGGAATAATAAGCTTAAGTAAGCTTAATTAATTATAGATTATAATTAATTTAATATTATAAATACTCTTAATTATTTAAATATAGTAAATTACTAATTAATTTATTAATTTAAAGAGTATTTATTAAGTTAAATTATAATTTATAAAAGCTTTAGTTATATTTTATTTATCTTTATTTATTATAATTTATATTTAATTAACTTATTAAAGCTTTAATATATATATTTTACCTTTCTTTTATAAAGGATTTTATTTAAAATAAATATTTAATACTTATTTAAAGTAATTATTATTAAATTTATCTACTTATATAAGTAGATAAAGAGATACTTTAGCTCTATAATATATTATTTTTTATTATTATTATAATTAATAAATTTTTCTTTATTATTTATTTAATTAATATATATTTAATAATATAGCTATATATATAATATTAATTATATTAATTAAATAATCTCTTAATCTTATATTTTATTTATTATATATACTATATTTATTTATTTCCTTATTATTATTATTATTAGCTATTTTATAAAGAAAAGACTATTAATATTAATTTAATATTAAGTTATAAGATATATACTATTATAATTACTTAATAGTATATATAACCTTATATATTTATAATTAATATATAGGTTAATTAGCTAAAAATTAAAGAGATTATTCTTAATTACTTATATTATTAAACCCCTATATTTTAAGCTTAAAGGTATAGCTTAACTATAAGATCTAGGCTTATATAAGTAGGTGAATTACTAAGATAAACTAATAGTAACTATTATATAACTATATAGCTCTCTTACTTATTATTATATATACTTATTATAACTTAGTATTTAATTATTAGTTTTAATATATTATATATTATATTAAATTAATTTAAGTAAAAGTAGCTCTTATTTAAGTTTTAATATAATAAATTAATTTAAATTTAAGTAATATAGTAGAAAAGCTTCTAAGAAAAGTTATTATATTTAAGGTTTATAATATTAACTAGAAAAGTTAAATCTATAAAATAAATTAATTAATTATATTTATAAATATAATATAGTATTTACTATAATAAAATCTTTATTATTAATATATAGTTTAATTAATTTCTAATACTTAGTAATTTATATAGTTATATATTATATAGTATTTATTTATTTATAAAGTAAAAGAATATAAGTTTAATTTTAATTTAAGTTAATTATAATATAGTTTCTTTATATATTTATTAATATTTATATAACCTTTTAGTATTTAATATATTTCTCTTATAAGTTCTTAAATTACTTATTTTATCTTTTATTATTATAAATATCCTTTATCTTTTTAACTTTCCTTTCTCTTTTTTTCTCTCTTTTTTCTTTATATAATCTAACCTTTAAATAAGTTTCCTCCCCTTCCTCCTTTAATTTATCTCTAGCTTAGCTTCTAACTAGCTCCTCTCCTAGCCTTTATTATTCTAAGATTTATTATTAATAGTATCTTAGTACTATAGCTATAAGTAGCTCTTTAACTTTAGATTAATAATAATAAATATCTATTATTAATTTAATTAATAAACTATATATTATATAATAAAATAAAATTAATAATATTTAAATAGTTAAGAGTATTAATACTTATTTTCTAAGCTTATATTAAGTAGATACTAACTTTATAGTAATTATATTAAATCCTAGATTAAATATTAAGTAGATATTAATTTAGCTTATAAATAAACTTAACTTTAGTCTCTAATTATCCTTATATAATAAATTATTTATTTAGGTAAATATTAACTATAACCCCTGAATTTTAATATTTAATTACTAATAGTATATTTATATAGCAAAGTCTCAATGATTTCATGCGTCTTAGTATTACTAGATTAAAACCACTACTAATCTCTTATCTAGTTATCTTAGAGGCTTATTTCGAGTCGCGATAGTAGCATCGATCCATAGAATGGTCATACTAACGGCGAAGCATTAATGCAAGTGATTTCCAATTAATTCTAGCCATACTTTCATATCCTATTAATATACCAACTATCAAGCTAGCAGTGGGCCGCCCCGCACGATGCTCGATGTAACGTACTTAACCAGCCCCGACTCCCCTCTCCATTATTAAAAGAGGAAATGGCTAAAAAAAAACTAAAATCTCCTAGCTAGTTAAATTCAAGAAGGATCAAGGAAAACTCATTTAACTGAGAACTTCAACCTAGGAGATGCGAAGAAGAAGAAGGCCGCCTAAAATAACTAGCCAGCCTCCAGCCGCGATATATTCTTTCCGCTCTCACTCGCGGTCCATCAGAACCCTTGCGCTCTTCAAACATATCATCAATATGTCCGACATTATTGCCGTCCCAGTTCGTCTCGAAATGAGCCGCCACAAGAGCATCAATGCTTAATCTTGCTTGTAGATCGCCCACATCACCAGTCAATGCCAGAAAAGCAAAAATAGTAAGAATAATTCCTAGCAATACAAGCAACAAATTTGCAAGCAGCAAACAAGCAAGCGGAGCCTTCGGCACTTTGGCCACAAGGATCGAAGATCGCAACTGAGCCTCCACAGCAGGCATAGGAATAAAGGCCCCTCCAGCCGCAGCCAGGGCAATCTGGCTGTATATGACAGCGAACTTGTCAGCTACCTCCTGTGCGGTATGACTTTGCCAGACGTCAAGACTAGTACGTTGCAGGATATACGGATCGCCTATCTTAGTATATCCTTGTGTGCCCATTATAATATTGGTCGTAGAGCTATTGCTCGTCTGGCTCCAGGAGCTCGTGATGGTGCCATTTATCGAAGTGTACTTCAAATCAAGAACTGTAGCGTTGCACAAGAGTACGAACAGAGTCGATCCGTGCAAACCGGTGGTGATACCCGGGCTTTCTATAAGGTCCCGATGCCAGCCCAAGTTCTGGTTAACGCTCACCACAGCGCCAAAAGAGTACGGGTTCGGCATGGAAATAGTTCCAGTTGTATTGTCCGATAGATTCATGTCGGTAAAGTAGGTCATTATCATGCTGTTGGTATCAGTCGTGCTGATGTATCCTTCCATGCCAAAATCACAGTTGTACTTTGCTCCAGGACCGCTGATATCATTATCGCTGATACATCGGGCTGTGATAGGAGCACACTGAGTGCTTACTCCAAACGACATAGCTGTGTAGTCCTTATCGGCGTTAAAACTATTGGGCGGGAGCCCAAGATAGGTAGTTTTGCTGCCAATGCCATCAACTATCTGCTGCACGATACCCGCGCTGGAGATATTAGCAAGAAGGCTTAACGATGTTTCGCCGTCCATTACGAAGGTTGCTGTTGCGGCTGGGTTTAAAGTACACCCCCCATCAAAGCTGTGAGCCACATTTGTGCAGTTTGTAGACAATCCGAAGCTGGCATTGTTGAAGATAGTTGGTTCGAGCTGGGTGAGAGATACGGTCTTCATCGTTAAATGAAACCATGTGTCTGTAGCAAACACCAGTGTACTTCACTCGTTAGCTCGCAGCTCATTGTAGTGCGTATGGGACGCATCAATCTAATCTCACCTGAGCACCGACCCAATAATTAACATCCACATCATAACCGTGAGAGGTGGTGTGAACGGCACCCTTTTTTTGGGCCGACTAAAAACATAGGTAATGCAGCGCCACACAGAGCTCAGCGAAGCATTGCTCAGTATCCGAAGCATGAGGGCGAGCTGGTACGGTGTTGGCTGTCCGCCCTGGTCCCCGTCTCCTTTTCCACAGCTATTGCTGACCTGGTTGGTGGCCTGATTGCCAGCCCCAACATGAACCTCGTTTCTTCCCTCAATAGTGGCCTCGTTGCCAGTCTCGTTGCTGGCCCCGTTGCTGGCCTCGTTACTGTCCTGGGTACTGACCTCATTTGCTCTAATCATCATCCTAGCCACGGGGAATGATACCAAGGTTAGAATAAATGGGAGTACGAGAGGCGCCATCGTGCTGGACCAGGAGCCGACTATAGCCAACGTAGTAGCACTTAGGTTGACGTAGATACTACTTGTGCTGTTCTCAGAGGATTTAGATCCCAGACCTGGAGCAACGGGTCCTCTAGGTACAATCCGATATCCAAAGATAAGCCCCAGAAGCAGCCCGGAGAAGGCAACTAAAGGGATTGATGACACGATAAGTGATATCATAATTTCTTTGATAGCGCTTCCACGAATTCGAGGCCCAGTGGGCGGCAGGGTATTGTTTTGCCTTTTAATAGATGCCATGATGCACAAGTTGGTCAAAAGGTCGATGGAGAGAGACACCCATCCAAATTAGCATCACCGCTAGCTTCAGTTCTTGGTTAGTAACCTGAAGATATCTTGTAAAAGGCCCTGGCAGATATACCGTAAAAATACCTAAATAAAGCTGGTCTGGAATAAGTTTTTAGAGACCAGGCTTCACCGCGATTTAGCTTATTATGAGACCAAAACTTAAGAGTGGTTGCTGCATATCTCTAGGCCTTGACTTGAACTATTACGCGGACAAGGCGGCGCCTGTCAACCTTTTTATAATCAGTTAAGTGGATCAGAGCTTTGCGGCCATCTCTTTACCTATCTATACATTAAGTTTAAGCTATCTAGCGCGTAAAGCCACTCTCGTACCTAAGTTTTAATGCTCTTGCCTCTTACAAAGTTTATTTCAACTCAGCAGTCAGCTTCACAGTGTATGGGACAAAGACAGGGAATAGATCCATAGTTTGGTTTTACTCCTCTTCGAGAGTTTTATCAAAGCCTAGCCTAATTCGAGAAACGAGGCGCAGCCCTTCGACCCCGATGTTAATTTTGTGGCGTAAAGCTTCAATAGAGTATTCTAAGGCAATATCAGTTGAGTGGATTCGACCGGAGGGCCCCAAGATAACTATCCTACAGTCTGAAAAGGCAAAAATATTTATCAGCTTAAAGTCCTGCAGGGTACCTTGGCCCTTAATTTGGCTATCTATTTTCTTGCGAGTATTATAAAACTGGGTTGGGCTTAAAAGTCCGCCCCAGGGGAAGGGTACTCTCCTTTAGTTAAAACAGTTTGTCCAGGCAGTTTGAACAGTGAAATAGAATCCATTCCTTATGCTAACGATATAGACAGCAAAGATAGCGACTGCTTGTACATGCTTATTGAATATGAGTACCTTGGTATAAGTGGTTATCTATACCATTACTAGGAGGGCAATAGACCAATTATAACTAGCTGCGTTGGAATGGAGGCGTAATAGTAGAACTATTTTATTAGCAGGTAACTTTATGTTCTCCTTTGGCCCCTGTTTATGGCCAGAGCTATTTATAGCGTGTACTTTTACACCCTCTACAATACCGCTCCCCCTCTTCCATTGTTTTTCAGCACATTTGTGCGACTGTTTGGAGCAGAAACTGTTAACTGGCGACCGAAACTATTAACCAGTTTACAAGGCCGTTTAGGTTGCTGGCAATATCCAACTGTTAACAAGGATGAACCTGTTTAATCGGCGCTAAGGTTGCTGGCAACTTTCTACAGCTTAAGAACTCTCGATTTTCATTAATTAAAAAATACCCCTCCAAGGCCCTTAGATCGACCCCGTACAAAGAAAGCAGCCTTTCCTCCTCCAATCACCTAGCTTGAACTTTACTACACAACCCCTCCAACGCAACCGGAAGCCCAAGAGTAAGTCTTTCAAGCTCTATAGCCCATACCACCTGACCATGATGATTCCTAGGCTACGTCAAGCCACAACCTAAACTCATGCGCCACTTTAAGCTACTTGCCCATATGTCATAGCAATCGAGCCACTTACCTAAAACTGCTAGATCCATCTCAAGGATCGAAAATACCAAAGTTGGCCCCTCTACATCATCCTCATACAACTCTCACACACCTATTTACTCTACACCCTTTTCCCCTATATTCATTTTGACTACAACTACCATGGGCAAATCTGTTAGCTGGAATTCCAACACACTTTAAATAAATACAAACTGTCTTTCTATATCTATATATAACAACCAGAATTTCATGTTCACTACAATCCTTTAATCTGATCTCAAGGGGACAAGGGCTCGCTCTTCAGCTGCTTGACAACATCATCCCATCCGTCGCTCTTCGTAAAGAGTGGTACCTCCGTAGGGCATTTGGTTCCGACTTGGGGTGGCTCGCCACGAAGAAAATACGCCCGGATGGCCTTGGCGGTGCATAAAGAGCCCTGGGTTAAAGAGTCATGCTTCATCACCACGTTAGCGTAAAGGGGAAAATGAAGGGGGGGGGGGGGGGGGGAGGCAACGTACTCCATAGCTATCCTGGTGCAAGAGGACACTACCCTCAAAAGTTGCGCTGACATTCTTCGCCGAAGCCAGTGGCGTGACGGGGTCGTAAGTGTTTCCAATCACTAACACCGGCGTCTTCGTCTTGACTTTGAAATCACCGCTGTATCGTTCCTTGGCCTTGAACTTCCAGTTGGCGCAGGTCATAGGGACCTGGATGCTTGCATCACCGGCGATTCGGCTCTTCTTCATACGAGCCTTCAATGTGGGCAGCATGTTGTGCAATGATGCACTGTCGATGAACATGTCGCTACACTTGATTCCGAATATGGAATGGTCTGGCAGTGCGGCCTTGATAATCTCCGTTTGATTGTCCGCTCTGGAGTAGAGGCCGCGAGCCTCCTCGGAACTGAATGTACCCTCGGCTTTCAAAATATCTATGAACGCATTCAGCTTCTTTGCCAGCTCGGGCCATCTGCTCCTGGTTGAGTCATCGGTGAGAATGGTAGAGATGATCGCCTCGATCTCCTTGGCCAGTGCGGGCCAAGTTTGTGGGAAATATAGTCGACTGTGTATGTTGCCCTTGACAGAGCTATAAGTCCACTCTGGCACTTGGTTTGGAAGATGTCGATTTGGGTTTGGAATCGGGAAAGCCTTGAGGATATCGAGCAAGCCGTAAAGAGACTCTTCCAGCTCAGCGGCCGTCATATTCTGGGCAAGTGAGCAAGCGGTGGGGTTCTCGACACAACCTCGACAGAATCCCGAGAATGCACCGTCGGCATCAGTGAATAACTCGACTTCCCTATTGGTAATTTGTGAGCCTGGTTGGAATCAACCACAGATCGTCCATGATTCCTTACTGGTTATGATAATATTCGAAAGGGTTGACGACGCCATCAAGAATAATCTTGTCCATTCGGTCCGGAAACATAGCGACGGTCGTAGCGCCCAGGAGAGTGCCGTATGAAACACCTACGCCATCAATAGATTAGCTGCGAGATTCTTGTCAAAAGGAATGACGGAACAGCGTTCCAACGCACCCCAGAATCGCAAAAGACCATCCTCTTTCAAGGCATCAACAATTTGCATCATATCCCTGGCAACAAAGGCTGTGCCAATCAAGCTTCCCGTTTCGTTCTGCTTTTTCGCACAATCTTCGCTCAAAACGATGCTAGCAGACCAATCTTGGCCCAGAGCGAATTCGTGCGAATATCCCGCGATGAATGGAGGTGCGGCGGCTAAGCTTACGGGGTCATCGTAGCACATAAATCGTATCGGCGAACCCTTTGTTCCTCTGCAAGAATTAGAATCGAGAACCAAGTTTTGGGTGCTCGAGCTTGTTGTATCATACCTGGGATCGAAAGTAATAAGATCGTGATAACCGCCAGTCGCGCTTGAAGATTAGCGAAGCGATGTTAGCCAACATGCATAGGTACAATGAATTGTAGATTTCAGAGAGACATATGTAGCGTTCGAGAACTTACGCTTGCATTCTTTGGGCGTACGCCCCAAGATCCGGGCCGCACGGTGAACCAGGACCGCCGCAATTGAAGATGATGCTGCCCTTTCGTTTCTCCACCGGAACAGCTGCTTCGACCCGATACACAGCAATATCCAGCTTCTCTGAAGACTCAGCGTTGGTGTAGTCAAGAGGTACTTTCAGCGTAGCACATTGCATCGGCAGAGTCGCATACGTCAGGACGGCCTTGGGACATTCGGACCAACGAATGGACGATTCATTGTCGGCGCGTGTGAAATGGTGCGGGCTGCCATGAGCCAACCGCCCAAGGAGGGGAATAGACGCCAGAAATAAGCGCGCAAGAAACATTTTAGAAGGCGAATGACACGATAGTCGTCTAGAAACACAGTTCAAGATGAAGCGTGCGGCATCCGCTCTTCAAATACTTCTGCTGCCGCGTACTCTGGTCACATTTGCCCCTTGTTCTCGGGTAAGACCCTCATTGATCTTCAGTGCTTATGCAAATGGAGCAGGGCGCGTTCCATAGCCACGTTTCCCAACCCTAGAATTAGAAATATCGCACGCAGCCGAGTTTCGTGGAGATGGCCAACCCGGGGACTTGGTTGGCCGTCTCCTCGACAAAGGCTATGCCGACGGTCATCAATGCGTTTGACTGCGCTCAATCGCATGATCTTGCCCAATTAGGCAGAGATTTTTTCAACATTCTCCAGGCCTTAAGTTGATGGATTCATTCAACCTACTGCGGCTTGAACGACCTGACGAATCACAGCCTGGTCCTCGATCTTGGCAGCTCACGGACTGATGTACTCCCCCACAAGACCCCTGCTAATTATATTCAATGTGATATCATCAACCTAATTTAGCTAGACAGGCCGAGTACAGGGCTGGCTAAGCTTCTTGATGGGCTCTTGAAACCCTTGTCAAGGACATATGTACCGACCCGCACCTAATAAACTACATTAGCATCAAAATTAGACCTCTGCGAAAGAAGAAGCAAAGACTATGGGCCAGTCAATGACGTCAGTTGCCGTCGAAACTTGAGAAATGATGGTCAAACGTGCCAATTGCTATATTTGTGCCAGCTTAGCCTCCGACTCCAGCTGGTGGGACGGCTACTTACCCTAAACACAACTATTGGTAGACATAACTGGATCACATCGACGCATAATTTTCACGAAGCTCCTTACTTTAACCCATAAGGCTCCCTCATGGCTTAGGTCTTGTGCGTATTTGCCTTGCATAGAACAACTACCCTACATCTGAATACATCAATAGGTTCTAGTTGTGTGTTTCGGTGATGCCAGCATAAAATCAAGTAATTAGTCACGTCACTGGTTAGATGCACATCTCCCTAAAAGCGACAAACATTGATAACTTAAAGGTAGGAAGTTAAAAGCACTATGATTATGATTCTAAAAGGAGCGTCGTAATATTGTAATAAATGAATGAAATAAAAAAAGAATTGCCATGTATGAACCAAATATATATCAAATCATCGTCTGTTGCTTATGGATCCCTTCGTCTATCCGGTTTATCCACAGCCTTCTACTGTGTTCCAGAGATGACCACATTTGGGGCGACGCAGTAGGGGCTCTGGTTCTGCTGGTCAAACTTGCAGATGGTCTTTGGGGGGCAGTTGCCAGCGTACTGTTACGTTTGGTTAGCATTTTCCATCTTGCTCTCAGTGGCTATAGGAAACTCTTCAACTTACGACCCAGGTGCCGCTGGTGTTGCAAACCTGCCAGCCCTGATTATCGGGGGTGCAGGAGTAGGTTGCAGGGGTGCACTGCTGACCGGAGCCCTGGGGCAGGGCCGAAGCGACGACAGCGAGGGAAGCAACGGTGACAGTGAAGGTCTTCATGATGAAATGAGTTGTAATGAATTTGAAGTGGTGGTTTGTTGGGGTTTGTGGATGTTGTAGATTGATTGGGTGAGATTGTTGTGATTGTGAAGTGATTGATGAAAAAAGACAGAGTAAGAGACGGATGGTCATGCCGTTTTATAGATCATGATGCCAACACATTCTCATGCATTCCTGAACACATTGATACCTTTCACAAGTAATCTCGTGAAGGGTTGCAAGTACAGGTGCCGTCAGTCCGTTTGGCCCTCGTATCAGTTCTTGGTGCTAGTCCTCAGCCTCAGTGGTGGCTCGTAATGCACCATTCGGCCCGGGGGATGGTCATTCTGGCATCTCCATTTGGACTAAACCTTCCTAGTTGACATCATATAAACCCCAATTACGATGACACTTAGGGGATAGCGCGGGGGTTACATGAGGTCAACAGCTGTTGCTGTGGTATGCAGACGCCGCATGGACAAGCCGTTGTGGCTTGAAAGTTCAGGCTACAAAACATTCGGCCCATTGTCTAGAAAAGTCTTCGTGTACGTACCCCAACTCGTACATAGCCACCTTCATGTGTCAACCAATGAGAAGTTGGTCCCGGTGACGCCGGGTTGGAGACACACGCATGCCCATACAGCCTCCCGAACCCACCATCAATTAGTTCCGCCGTAGATCTAAGATCGAACGGCCCATACATTCCCCCGGATGCGAATGCGGGGATCGACTGGGCTGAAGTGGACATTTCATTCGGCCCTCAATCTAAGAATAGATTTCTAGACTTGTGAGGCGTCCGGCACCGCCGTAAATTTGATGGCGCCCTCGTGTTGCATCGTCTCCGCGGCCGAAGAGGACAACCAACGGCGCAGGATGAGCCTCTAAACATATGTCTTTAGACTAACGGCAAGACCGCACGCTATTTTTGGTGTTGGAAGCCAGTCTGGAATTTACCACATAATTGACAGAGATGACAAAAGATGACTTCTTAGCTGAGGCTGAATTCATTGGGGAAACTCTTTCATTTGCCTACAAACTTGAACTCAGTGGCAAGATCAAGTATCATGGCTGTCCTACTCTTCACTCTTTACAACCTTGATGGTAACCTGCTTATCCTCTGCGTAGACACGCAGTCCCATGACACACACAGGATTCCATGGTAGCCTCTCTTTCTTGTCGTTGGCGTCATCATCCTTTTCGTCGTCGTCGTCGTCGTCATCATCGTCCTCTTCATCGCTCTTTCCCTCCTTCTCTCCCTCCTTCTTCTCCTTCTCCTCCTCCTTCTCTTCCACCGACCCTTCATCTTTCTTGTCTCCCTTCTTGTCGCCCTCGCCAGCACTTGGAGAGGTCTGTGCGGCAGATTCAGATTCTTTCACGTCCTTTGCATCTCCTCCAGCTTCCGCCTTCTCATCCTTTGCGGGGGTCTCTTCCTTCTTGTTCTCATCTTCGCCCTGTGTCTTTTCGTCTTCATCCTCCTTCTTTTCCTTCTTTTCAAGCTGTGTCTGCATGATTGCCATGGCGGCCTGCATCTTCTCCATTGCCTGCTTCATCTCACTATTCTTTTCTTCCTTCTCCGCTTCCTTCTTCTTTTTCTCCTTTTTCTTTGCCTTCTCTTCTTCCTTTTTCTTGATATACACATCATCCTCATCAAGCACTCCGACCTTCGCGTGAGCAATGTCGTGTTGGATACCCTGTTGCTGAAGCTTAATAGGGTTCCAGGTTGCATAGTCCTTAATGATATCCTCCACCGGGTGCCTCCAGCCACGCTGTTGGGCAAGGACCTTGGGGATAACCTCGTAGTTTCCAGGCTTGAGGTATACTTCACAGTTGACCGAACGGTTTTCATTGATGACTCTGTTGAACCTGGCTTCCGCGACTTTCTTCTCGGATCCAAGAGCACGAACGATGAACTCCAGGCAATACTCGTACGGGCCGTTAAGGTGGCGGAAATATCGCTCGTCAAGCTAAGTGACCAGAACAGTTAGCCAAACCCTCCAATTCTGAATCAAGATCGCTGTTGCTGGGATCATAGATCTTACCTTTGATAGGACAATTACCACTACGCCTTCTCGCTCAACTTCGAAAACGAACTTGGTCTTGAGGAATCCTGGAACCCAGGCAATCGGGACACTCGTCCATTGCTGAGCAACAGTCCATCTCTCATCGAAAAGACGTGTCCGATGAAGCCACTTGAAATTGCTCAGCATGTCATCCAGGGTCATCCAAAAAACGCCGTCGTCGCCAAATTCATGGCGCAGCTTCCTGAACATTTCCGCATTCCACTCCTTGGATCCATCGGACCAAGGGCCATGCCACTCGCCCATCCCTGAATAGGAATTTCGGCCCCAAGGATTCCTATAATTTTTTCCAATTAGGTCTTGACTTCTTTTCACCTTCCAAAATCCGACGGGAAATACTGACCTTATCTTGAGAAGCTTTACTCGGTTTCCCTTGGCATCTTCAACCTCAACCGCCCGCACGATTGCGTAGGCATGGTTCAAGACAATGCCATTTTGCTCCGACGTCTCGGCGTTATAGCCGGCAGAGAGGCCATACACAAACTCTCCATGGTCCTGGTCGACCTGGACTAGCTCCCGCCAGAGCTTATCCTTGCGGAGCACGCGACTGGCGAGACTGCAGCTCGTGACTCCCCCGGTAAGGTCTTCAACCGCATCTCCGACCCAGCCGCCCTCAATGGCACCGTAGTCACCATGTATCTTGGCATACTGTAAGAAAGAACTGGTCAGCTTTTATGCCAGAGAGCACGACGGGGAGTCTTGCTTGGGGAACCTACAGCCTTTTCAAGCAGGGGCAGCCACGTCTCGTTCTCATCCTCACATTTGCCACAGTATAGGGCTTCAGAACCGGTCTGGTAGCGCTTCCGCCACAGCTTCGTGTGCTTGCCGCTGACATCGTAGATTTCCCTGGTTTTACCATAGTCCCCTTGAGTCAGGTAGAGGTTATCATCAATAACGGTCGGAATCCATTCTCCGTCCCGGAAAAACACGAAACCATACACGCCGCACTCCTCGTCGCGGGCCACGCAGACCTTGTTCATCAGGTCCTTACGGTGGGCCACGGTTCCCAGCCCAGCGAGCCACCAGCAGTTCCCGACGCGGCCCTGCATGATATCAGACCCGGAGAACCCATCAACAGTAAACTGGGGGTTCGTGAAGATCCACGACACGCGGTGAACGGAGCCTGGTCTCGCGGGTTCGGTCTCACCCTCCTGGTCGGCCCGCACAAGACCGTGGATGCAGTCGTCCGTGGACAGGTAGAAGTCGCTCTCGAGGTCAAAGTCCGGGTCGCAGAAGCTGCTGTTGATGCTCTCGCAGTGCTCGACCGTCTCCTTGACCATCTCGATGCACTTGGCGCGGGCGAGCTCGTAGCTCCGGGCGGCGTTGCGGACCCGGACCGAGGCGGGCACGAATTCCGGGTCGATGGTCTTGTAGAGCTCCCGGGGGAAGATTGAGGTGATCTTGCCGGGGGTCCTGTGGTGGAACCTTTGCCAGAAACGTGAGATGTACGCCTGGGGGTGCTCTTTGGCAGACCGCTTAGGAGGGGTCGGGGTAGATGTTGCTTCAGACATGGCGGCTGTTGGATTGAGAAGACTGATGGATTGAAAGGTTCAAAGAAATTCATTTACCAACGCTTGAAGGAGCGGGGATTCTGGTCAATTTATAGATGACGTGGAAATCAGCTGAGAAGGACCATGGGGAGCTATTCAAACCAACATGCAGACGCATATACGCGTAAGAGGCCAACCCAGACCGCTTCAGGTGGCGCTGTACCAACAGAACACATCGTTAGGCGACGGCCTTTACGTTAGTTGGTTGGTTAGGCAGGCTATAGCCTATCAAAACCCTGCCCGTTTGCCTTGTTGGACCTTCTCAACCAACATGAGCCAATGATGATGAGCCATCTGCAGAGCACGCTTTGTAATGATCTGGGGCTGAAGGGGCACCTGTTCAATCGAGCTGCATTAATCAGAAGTTGGCGCTTATTCAGATCGTCAGATGCAATTGATCTGCAGCTAACGGCAGCTTCAACCGACACCTAAAAAGGCACCAAGAATCGCATTCTTGCCGGCCGTTTATCCGCTCAGCCTACCTTTGATCCCCAGTGCATCCCTGGCTGAGTCTGGACGTAACTAGGCAGCTATCCACGTTACCGTATAAAACATCACGCGAGGCCTACTTAGGGGGGGAGGGTGAGAGATTATTTCTGCCTTGCATCGCCTTGCATAATTACCCGCTTTTTCTGATGCTGAGCGCGTTATGTTGCCGCCTACGGAAATAATGGATGATGGTGCATGTTGGTTGATGCTTGATATGGTTGCTAAAGTCCAGAACAAGAGGGGTAAGAATGAGAGGATTATGTGTAGGTAGAGACAAATACGGACATGCCCATTTTCATATCCACCACCTCACTTTCAAATTGGATGACATTTCGTTATTTTCTTTTAGATTCAAATCGTCGCCTGTCAGCGGATCTCACCGATCGTCTTAGACCTTCCCTGCTTCATGTCCTTGTTCGGACAATTGCACTCACACTAAGGAAGCCCATGTGCGATGAGATTTCTAGAAAGGAATAGTTATACGATTGAGCCGGAGCCATTATTCAAACTACCAAGTAGAGAAGTATCGCAGATTATTACTTAATTAAGTAATGTAGAAGAAATTGAAGATAGCCATGGTAACGTGTCTATTATCCTGTGAGGCAATGCAGCGGTTTGATGTGATGAATCCAAGGACGGGCATAAATAGAAAAGTCCTGGTACATATTCAATTGATTCAGGAAACCCATTCATCTAACTATCCTAGTTCTAAGTACGCAAGTGGTGATATCAAATGTCTCTGGCAACTCCTCGTTTACGTTCCCGCTTATGTACGAGGCATAGTAGTGACACTTGCCAGTCTTCTTTCAATAAGAATTCAAAGAGGGAAAAGAAACTCTTGAGGCACACCGGGCGCGATATACCTAGGCCATGTTCGAAGCGTTGCTCTTCATGTGACGTGAGCTTGACTCAGAAGCAAGATTTCCTGCCCCCGTCGCCATCAAATCAATCCGGGCGAATGGTTTAGTGGTATAATACTCCCTTAGCATGTTCTCTTCTCTGAGATCCAGCGTCCTGGGAGTGGTCCAGGGTTCGATTCCCTGTTCGTCCAAATCAAGTGGTTCATCACCGGAGCTAGCTTTTTGCTGATTCATTGGATATAAATGGGGAACCTGTCACTTACCGGAGTTTGAAGGCGCTGAGATTTGTAGATGTTTCGTGGTAAAAGCAAGGATAGGGCCGTCTCGAGAGGGGTAAATTGGTGTGTTGCCAATGTTTATGTTGTCGGATGACTAAGCCACGCCAATCGCGGGGCCGCGCACCGCTATGCCTAAAACGCCGTTGGGAGCCAAACCGTTCCTCTTTCTAGCCACTTTGTCTCAGACAACGATGCAGAGAGACCGATCCATCCATCATTATTCACCATCCTATCATCAGCAGCATCTACCATTCACGCCCATTGTCCTTTAAGAGACGCATCGGCGTCAAATCGCCTGAGCCGCAGCATCCGCCGCCATGGATGCTGAGGCCACTGCAACGGCCAAGCTGGCTGTGCTGATCGACGCGGACAATGCGCAGCCCAAGATAGTCAGTCTCGTGCTTGCCGAGATCGCCAAGTATGGCACTGCCTTTGTGAAACGGGCTTATGGCGATTGGACCACCAACAACTTGAACGGCTGGAAGGAGCACCTTCTGTCTAATTCCATCCAGCCCATCCAGCAGTTTGCCTACACCCAGGGCAAGAACTCGACCGACGCCGCCATGGTCATTGACGCCATGGACCTCCTCTACACCAACAGATTCGACGGCTTCTGCATCGTCTCCAGCGACAGTGACTTTACTCGCCTGGCCTCGCGAATCCGTGAGTCCGGCCTGGTCGTCTACGGCGTTGGGGAGCGTAAGACCCCCAAGCCTCTAGTCACCGCTTGCGACAAGTTCATCTATACCGAGAATCTCTCTGCGAATCTGAAAGCTGCCCCGGCCCACCCACCTAGCGCTCCCCCTGGAGATTTAATGAGTCGAGACCTCATAACCAGAGAACTCACACCCCGCAAACGTCCCTTCCAGGCGATCTCGAAGAAGGACCCAGAGGACCTGGACTCAGAAATGAGCTTCATATACGAGGCCATTGAAGATGTATCAGATGACGAGGGCTGGGCCTCGCTTGCTCCTCTTGGACTTTTGATCAATAAGCGGCACCCGGATTTCGACCCCCGCAGCTTTGGGTACGAGAAGCTCAGCCACCTTCTCCAGGATGATCGGTCACTGGAAATGACAAAACGCATCCCTGGAGTAGGAAAGCCTCCAGTTGTATATGTACGCATGTTAAGGCTGCTCTAGCAGATTTCGGAAGTTGGAATTCGATGATCGTCACTGGGGCCTTCAATGAGATTGATCTGGGAAAGATACTCTCATTTCAAGCCTCTTGTATCGCCAAGGGAACTTTTATACACCACAATAATTGATCTAGGTAGACAATACTTGATCCCAGATTGTCCGTGATGCTTGTGAAGATACTCGTAGGAGTTGGAGTGTGAGGTTCAACTAAGGAAGCTAAAGCGAGATGTGGCTGAATTTGATGTCACCCATTATGCAAAGGTACTTATAGATCTGGACCATTTTGATCACGATATTTATACACAAAGCTTTCCAGAGAGCCACCATTCAAAGGACACGCATCACTCTATTCAGCATGTATCCCAAAAGGCGACGTAATCTCACGAAAGGACACCATGAAGTAATCTATCTGATCCTCGTTTCTCGGCGACATTACCGAAACCCAATCCTATGGATCGCAATTAATATCAGGGTCATTTATCTCGCTGAAGCCTAAAATTGAACGCCAAAGCCTACGAATCTACTCAAGCCCTACCCATCATTGTCTCCCTCCATCACCGTCGAAATCTAAGGCGCAATCGCGCAAGATAGTGGTCCGAAAGCTTTTGGTCGGCGATTCGCCAGGCACCAGTCAGGAGCAGGGGTAGAGTCTGTTTATCCTGGAAGTGACATGTTTACCTCTCCTCGTGATGAATTACGTCGCATTTCTAAAAGCTCGCTTATTCTAAGCGAGATCCGACAATATGCAGTACGATCGTACCGCCACAGTAACATACAACAAAATTATCAGCAAGCTTATATAGGTATAAATGGAGTACTCAAACCGTTCTCATGTCGTTTTTTTCGGTGTCGAGTTGTCTTGCCCATTTGTCACTATTCCCATAAGCACGGTGGCTCGGAACAGGCTCATTACGCAAAACCTCAAGTTTGTGTTACGAAGCCGTACCTGGTGAGAGATTTTCTAGGGCGACCCAAATCTGTCGTCGACCAACAAAACTTCAAAGCTGTACAAGTTTTAGGACATCATGGTTCATCCATTGAGCCTCATAACGTTCATTGCATCGGTTGCAACTGTGATTTCACCGGCAGCAGCAGACGGTCAAGGTTCCTTCCTCTGGGATCCTCCCTACGACAACGAGGCAAATGTGTATGCTAGGGTCATAGAACTCCAGCACGCCGGGTCTAGCAATGGTAAGCTACTGGCCACTTGGGAGCATTGGTATGCCAATACCACCGAGAATGCTGCGTACCCAAACGGCACTGAGGGCAGCTTCATTATCCGCGAGAGCGAAGACGGCGGAGAGACCTGGAGCACTTTGACAACCATCTTCGACACACAAGAAGGACCCGGCCATCCCTGTGCTCGCTTCTGGCAACCATTCTTCTTCGAGTTTCCTCGCCAGCTTGGCGACTATCCGGAAGGTACGCTGCTTCTAGTCGGCAACCTTGTGCCTACCAACAAATCATTCACCGAGTTTTTCACCTGGCGATCCAGCGACCATGGACGCACTTGGGACCCAGTGGGGGCTTGGCAAGAAGGCGGCACGACGAGAGCCGGGATCTGGGAGCCGTTCCTTTACCTAGACGGTGATGGGTCACTCGTGGCTGCCTTCTCGGACGAGAGAAACGCCACAACACGCAGCCAGATGCTAGTCCAAGTCGTATCAAATGATGGTGGGGATACCTGGGGAGACGTTATCCCTACGGTAGCGAGTGAAGTTCAGACAGATCGCCCTGGAATGCCCACTGTTACGCTGATGGATAATGGCGAGTATTTGATGGCCTACGAGATTTGTGGACGGGATCCTTTGAACTGTCCGGTCTATGTGAAAACATCTCCCGATGGCAGTACGTGGGATGAGAATGATCTAGGCACTGCCGTCGTATCCGAGGACGGGCGCTATCTTGGCTCCAGTCCTTACGCGCTCTGGGACCCGTCCACGAAGCAGTTGCTTCTTGCTGGGCATAATACTTGGGACACAACGGCCAACACAAAAACTGCTGAAGCTCAACGCAGCGTATACATCAACAAGAACTACGGTGTTGGTAACTGGTCTTGGGCCCCATCACCCTGGGCTGTCAGCTATGCTTCGTCTGCGTGCAACTCCAACTACAGCCCCCACATGCTTCTTCGTTCGAACGGAACTATCCGTTATACGTCCCCAACCAGCCAAGGTTCTTCCGGATACTGTGCTGTGCGCACTGGACAGGCACCTATTGGGGTTCTGCCTTACGCAGCTGATTTCGCAGCTAGTGGACAGCTCGGCTGGATCAACACTGGAGCGGCTGGCAAGGTGGCCTGGTCTGTTTCAGATGATCAATACAACTTTGGCACAGTCGGGGACTCGATTTCTGCCCTGGCCATTACAGGATCGACGGGCTGGGCAGATTACAAAATCAGTGCCGATGTGCAGATTGTTAGCAACAACGGGACTGTAGGCATAGTTGCACGATTGTCTCAGCCAAAGCCTGGCCTTGATCAGTTTTACGGCTACACATTGGCCATTGAAAACTCTACCGGGAACTTGACACTATACAGGAACACAGACAACGCCGTTGCCTTGGTCTCAATGGCCTTCTCCGGAGGGATCGAGCCGGATGTATGGTACTCCATATCCCTTGCTGTCCAGGGCTCGCAGTTGACGGCAGCACTCAACTCGGAAGATTCTGGCTCTAGCCTGGCGTTCACTGTGAATGACGAGAATCATCCATGGGGCATGGCTGGGCTGATTGGGAAAATTGGGGGAGGGGGCTTTAGGAATGTATTTATTGAATAGATAAATACTCATTCTACTGCAACACGAGATCGACCTATTGGACAACCTATCTAGTTAATCACCCTCTGAGCATGATATCGCGACCACGACTTAGCTGGGATCCCAAAATATCATCGAAAAAATATTACTTAGGCTCGCTCAACTTTCAAGACCTATGGCTTACTTCATTTCCTTCAGAGACCCGCCATTCATCAGCAAAATTGCCTCCTCGCGCATGGGGGCGCGGTCACTGTTAATCCACTCGTCCACCTCCTTCTGATCTGGGGAGCTATAATTCTCGGTGCGTAGCGGCAAGACCCCGGTGCACTCGATCAAGTTGTTGATATGTGGAACACCTAGGATGCTGAGACGAGTGTATGTAGCAGCATAACCCTAAAGAATCATTGTAAGCTTGTGGATTTGAGACCATCCTGCGCCATGTAGCGAGGATTCTATACAAGAATATCAAGGTAACTCACATCACTCCAGACACTAAGCCCGTTCTCGGGGTCGGAGAACAGACCCCATAGAGGGATCGATTCTTCATAATTGGCAATAGACACGTCACTGTGAAACTTGAATATCCTCTGTGCCGAATCATTCTTCACAGTCTCTCTGTAGAAGTTTGTGCTCCACACGCCTGGCGTTGTCGAGTGAGGATCACCCGCCCTGGCATTGTCTTCGAATCGTTGCTGACCCAACGTGTGCACCCCGAGAAGGGTAATCAGATCTCCCCGGTCAATAGTCTTATCTTCAAAAAGCTCGATCAGGGGAACTGCATCTTCCGTAGCAAGTGGCAGCCTACCCTCTGGAGATGGGGAATGGCTATCGTTGCGCCCAACAAATGTGCGAATCCGTGGGCCTTGAGGGCAAACTACAGCAGCCACGTTGGCTCCCATTTGGATGAGATCTGCCATGCCGGCTCCATGTTTGTGAAACTTGTGGTAGTATCCCCAGACTTTATTGTTGATCTCTTCAAGCCCCCGGTTCTCGCTCCGCGCGATTTCGCCAGCAAAGAGAAACGAGCCATCAGCCCCCCCGCCGCCCTTTGTCTTTGACCAGCTGCCGGCATCGTGGAATCCGAGGCGGATTGCTTGGCGAGCGAACATGTTGCAGCGACCGGAAGAGCCCCTGAAGTCCTTGGCCATCTCCTCGGCAACATATTTCCACACGCAGCAGGTTTCCTTGCGACACTCCCGGCTCCCGAGTGGTCCCGGGGCCTTGTAGACGGTGACGGTGTCTTGGACCCAGGGCGCCGTGGCATTCTCGAGTAGTAGCATATCTTTGATGAGCTTTCCCGTTGGGGTAAGCTCGTAATCCTTGAGATATATGAGGTCCGCTAGCAGTTCCGGGGTAGAAGGGTCCCTTTTTTGGATGGAGTGGAGGTCTCCCAGAGTGCGCTCCATTCCGGGCCATGCCTGTACGAACAGAGCCGCGTAGAGTAAGATGATGGCGGGGATGACAGCGTGCATTATGATTAGGATTCGTAGATCCATTACTGGTTCATGAACTGGTGAAATGTTGTGAGTAAGTCGATTGAGTGTGTAGTATATGAGTTTGGAAAGAGTTATGAACTTGTTCGATATAAAATAGCAGTTCAAGGCCAGGACGTTTTATATATTTCAAATGAAACTCTTTATTTAGATCATATCTATCACGTCCTCTAATACTACACGGCTGAGCATGCAGCGTGGCGTAGACGGGAACGAGGATGAGCGGAACGAGACTAAGCGAGAATGATGGAATCCAGCCTTGGCAGCATGACATATATGCAATGATACATCGTTCCAGGATTAAAACATGCATAGAATATCATCACTTCTGACAGCCTTCTCCGTGTACAACCAGCGTAGCTGACTATCACCCCCAGACAAGTTGCCGTCAAACATGACTTGGCACTGGCGAGATGTCCTACTCTGATGGGGCTTGTTCCGGTCTCTACTCCTATCTCATAGATCAACTTGGTGTGTGAGAGCTGCGGAAGTATCTATGTGAATATCGATCAAACTAACTTAGATGTAGTGGAATATATACTGTAAAAACTCGTTTCACAATGAAACTTGCTCCCGGCACCACCTCGTCATTACTTCCCATTCTTCCCCACGGTCATCCAGCGCATTAGAGACCTCTTCAACAAGTCTCAGCCCCGAATACCTTTTCCACCACATGTCGTCCGTTGTGTATAATAACACACCCCAGTGCATGAGGACGGCCATGGCTAACGGGTCGCCGTTTCGTACCTCGTCCAAGAACCCTGAAGAGACTCGAACGATCCACATGACTGCGCAGTGACGTCTCCTGTGAACCTGCCCCAGTCCGTTTATTGCTTCTTCTAATATAGAATATTTATGGCTCCCTGGATCAGCAGTCGCGTCCAATAACGAGCGCAGCTCTCTGGCATGGGGCCATCCACCATGAATCAGGGGTGGCTCTGGCTCGACAATACAGAACATTAGCGACAATGGACCATCCAGGATCCATTTGCGACTGGTTTGGACGATATGCGAAATGCCGTTCATGTATCCAACAAGTAATAAAATCGATTCTGTTGCAGGCTTCGGTTGATCCAATTGACTGGTTGGCAAAAGAGAAGAAACCACCGCACAAGGCATTGTAAGAAGACCACATGCGAAAATGGAGTCACAGTTGGATGGAGAGATACTTTTGAGAGCCTCGCCAAGGCCTAACAGACTTCGGTTCTGATGTCGCAGTGCGGCGTTCACCAGCGGCTGGGCGGCCGCCGGGTCTTCCATCTCAATTGCCATGTGAAGCAACGTCAATGCCAGCAGGGATTCCATGAGATACTCGTGTCTCAGCGCTTCTTGGCCAACATATTCCCGAAAAAGGTCGGCTCCTCTTGGGGTGAAACTGTGACATGTTCGCGTGCACCAGTGATGCATGAGTGCCACCTCAGACAGCCCGGCGTTTGTCTCTTCCAGACCTGGGAATCGGGGTGAGGATACATTGGATGCCTCTAGCTGTATCCCATCAGGCGAAACTTGCGCTATATCTTCAAGGCTTTGGAGCGGCTTGCGCGAGAAGGCACAGTCTTCCTCTCGCCGGATGCAGTTCGCGCATCGGGGCGCTTTCTCGTCGCATTTTACGCGCCTCTTCCGGCACTGGTCGCATCCGTACCGCGATTTGCGGTGAGTGCGCTTGATGGGCATTGCGCATTTGGATCAGAACGTGATGGGCAGCCATCCATAAACGAGAACGAGCTTTAAGAAGAAAGATGGCGAGGGAGCTGTCAAACTTTAATCGGCCCCTGCAATCAGCGTCTCACTGCCTGCCTTGCTCAGCCTCCTAGAGGGTGACGTTGGCTGACGCCCTGATTTGTTTCGATGTGACCGCAGTGGTCAGCACCTTGATCGCTTTCGCTTTCGCCTATACTGCCGTCATTCTTAATACGAAAAGACTTTATTGACATGCAAGAGGGTTCAGGGGTAAAAATCATGTGGAACGACGCATTGCTAGTCCAGGAAATGGCATACGCCGTTCCATCGTCAAGATGCGCGGGAGTTGGAGTTTAATTATTTCTCGGCGTGGCGTCAGGGTCAGGTCAACATTTCTTCAAAGAGGTCGAGCAGCGTTCAAGATCATCTTCAGGCATATCTGGAGTCAACGGCAGTCGCCGCTTCCGGTCGTGAACAGTATCAGAGCCTTAGTATTTAAAGTAAATAACAACGTTCGAGTTTATTTAGTTTTATTTGTGAATGATTTATTTTTATTTATGAACAATAAAAATAAACATAAATTTATACCTATAGATAGATATATAGAACCTAACTAGCCTACCCTATATACGTCTAGGGGTCGTATCTTCCTACATGTACCTAGTTGACGATCTTTCCCTTAAAACCTCCTCTTGGCGTACTAGACATTATACCCTTGTCTAATTACTTTGATCGCTTAATTGGCGAAGCTATGATTGCTGCCATGTTCCCATTACTATCCCATAAGGGCATAACCCTCGACCACGACCTCAGCATACTCTTGTCTTCAACGCCATCCTCGTACCTCTCACTTATACCATTGGCACATTCTCGTGCCAACTTTAGCGCTCGTGTGACCACGGCCAGTCCTCACTCGAGGGCGAATCCTTCCTGCTGACAGACCCACGGGGTAACAATGAAGCTGGCTTCATGATTGGGTTGCCGAAGCGCTGCGGCTGATTACCCCACTTGACTGGGGAGGAGTTGCTCTCAGCTCGTGCATTATGTGCTTCTTTTCCTTTCTTTCCATCTTCCGTACCTACTGTAGCAAGAGCAGATTTGGCAAATCAACCGTGTATCGCCAGAAATAGATAAATTCCTCGACATCTCTACCACGTTACTAGTCGCCATTAAGATGGTGAGTTGCGTATTGTGTTTCCACCTGGCGTGCTGCCTGCTAACTACTACCAGCCATTGCGACAAGTCTTCCCCGACCTCTCTGACAAGAGTGTTAAAGCCTCTGATTTCAAAATCGAGTGAGTGACAAACGGACTTCAGAGTCTCCCCTGCCTCCATCAATGGCTAAGACCGTTTCAACTGACTTTGCTCGCAGCATCGTCGCTGTGCATGGTCTTAATCCCCGCAGCAAAAATGAGGCTGACCACGCATGGGACACGTGGCGAACACCATCAGGCTCTGAAGGGCATCTCTGGCTCCGCGAAGATCTCCCTGCCATTGTCCCTGGGGCCCGAATCTTCTTGTACCAGTATGATGCAGCCGCCGCTTATGGAACCGACAAGGGCAACTTCCACGACAAGGCGAGCAGCCTTCTCGAGGCCGTTCATGTAAAGCGGAATGGCGCAGAGCAGAGACCTATCCTGTTCTTCGGCCACAGCATGGGCGGTATTTTGATCAAGCAGGCCTTGATCAATGCACATGTCAACCCCGTCTACTCATCCATCAAAGATGCGACCAGCGGTCTTGCCTTTTTTGCAACACCGCAGAGTGGCGGCGACCAGACACTGGTAAAGCTGGGCAAGATTGCGGTCGCAATTGCGACCACCGTTGGGTTCTCAACCAAATCAGATGTCTTGAACACACTAAAGAAGGGCAGTGTCTTTTCAGACATCATGGCCGAGCAGTGGCGGCATCAGCTGGAGACCTACGACATCGTGTCGTTCTGGGGAGACCATGATACCGTAAGTGGTCATTCTGTCTTCTTTGATAAAATGTCTAACTATCCCTTCATTGTAGGCCGTCCCGAGGGAGAGTGCCAGGCTAGGCCTAGCCGGTAGCCGCGAGCACATAGTAAAGCTGAACGCAGACCATGGAGGTGTCTGCAAGTTCAGTGATTCCATCGAAGATCAAGACAACCTGGAGCTTGTCCTACCCAACATCCAGAAGTTATATGAGAAGGCAATTGCGAAATGTGAGTCTGTTAGCACCCGAGAAAATGCAGCGGCAGAGCAGGATGCTGCAGACATAGATTTCCAGGCCCGACTCGCTGCATTGAAAACTCCAAATTAAATGAATAGGCGAAGGGACAAAGGAGTAAGAGCAGGGACATTATTGGCATTGATTAGGGAAGGAGACGGTTTCCATTTCAATTACTGACTTGGCGTTATGATATAGCTCCAATTCCAGTAGCGGATGACTATCTTCGTAATGAATTTTATGCCAACTCTCTGAAGGTCAAGCGCCTCTCTGGAGATCGTCTGAATATCGAAGATTGTTATATAAATCTAGCTATTGTCGAGGCAGCCAGCAGTAGTTCCCAGAGTCGAAGAGGTGGAGAACACGCCCAATCATCCTCACCTTATCTCTTGGAAAGGCTTACCGTGGAGCCAAAAGGTGCAAAGATTAACCTACGTAAGATCTTTGATCTTCGAAGGACGCCAGATGGGCGAAACATATTACCAAGACGGGTATTTGTAAGAGGTCATGCAGGTGTTGGCAAGACTACACTCTGCAAGAAAGCGGTGCATGAGTTTCTCTACAACCAAGTGTGGGCGAAACTGTTCAGGCGTGTTCTTTGGGTGCCGTTGAGGAATCTGCAGCAACGGGGGAACAGGTATAATCTTTTTGAGCTGCTTAGTGACGAGTTCTTCCCTCACCACCCCCAGAGGGAAGAATTGGCCGCGTCCGTCCAAAGGGCCTGCCAGAGTCCCGATGGCGGCAAGACTCTATTCATTTTGGATGGCTTGGATGAGATTGCGCATCTCCTGTCTGGGGAGACTGATATGTCACGGTTTGTAACAGAGCTGTTGAACCAACCCAACGTTATTGTCATGTCTCGCCCATCCGCCTCACCACCCCTTGAAGTTAAGCCTTTCGATCTCGAGGTGGAAACACTGGGATTCGAGCCAGCTCAGGTGGAGGAGTTTGTGCGCAAGGTGGAGCCCACGAATGCCGATGCCATCTTGTCGTTTCTTAGCGGCCTCCCACTTATTCGAGATCTGGTGCGCATACCTGTTCAGCTCGACGCACTTTGCTTTGCTTGGGATGAAATCTATCACTGCAAGAATGAACCAGAAACAATGACAGACTTGTATCAAGCCATTGAAAGAGGGCTGTGGAAAAAGGACAGCTATCGTTTGAGACGAGCACCTAGCGGATTGACAACAGATGAACATCGAGCTATCGGCGCCATGGCGTCGGTCTCCAATGAGGTTTCCTTCCTCGAAGGGCTGGCATTCTCTGGAATGTATAACAACACTCTTCTTTTCAATGCCAACTTCCGAGATACTGTGGCAGCACATTTTTGCCAGTCGAGAGAGACGGCCGATGGGATATTAAGGAACATTTCCTTTATGAGAACAACAGATCCGGAAGCTAGTCAGAGACATCGGATGTACCATTTCGTACACTTGACATACCAAGAATATTTTGCCGCTAAATACTTCGTGAGAAACTGGCAAGGGGGCACCAGTTTGAAGTGCTTAAGAACCCACCAGACCGGATCATTAAGACCTAGCCAGCTCGAAGTGGAAGACCTCACTCCAGTGCAATTCCTTCAGAGCCACAAATACTCTGCGCGATATGATATTTTCTGGCGACTCGTCGCAGGTTGCCTGGCCTCGGAAGCGGCTAAGTCTAACGGGCTTGTCAGATTCTTCAAGGAGCTTGATACACAGCCCTTGGACTTTCTAGGTGTGGCACATCAAAGACTGAGAATGCACTGCTTGCGCGAGATTCCCTCTACGATAACGTCCAACGAGTTCATAGCTCTCAAGTCTCAAATAGAAGACGAGGTGTGTACATGGCTGGTTTACAAGCCCAAAACTATCTATGGGCTGGGGTTTGGGCTGTATCCTCTTCTCAACCACGAGAGAGATTGTCCATCGGGCATTTTTTCCAAGCTTCTTACGAAGTATCAAACCTCGAGTGTCGTTACTCGTGTTCTCGCGAAATCCAGATTTCAGACCCGGCAGGCGGCTATTCTAGCTCTTTCTAGCCAATCTAAACTACCGGATAGCACTCTGTACTCTTTGGTAGAATGCCTTAATCGAGAAGGCAAGAGTAGAGATATAGCAGCAATCACCCTACAAAGTCAGCCCGGCTTACCTAGCAGCATACTGGCCGCCTTAGCAGCGTACCTGAAGAGCCCGGATCAAGAAACACAAAGAGCTGCCATTCTCTCTCTAGGCTGCCAGCCTTGGCCGGATGATATTCTAATGAGCGTGATGGCATACCTTCAGAGCCCAGATATAACTATGCAGCTCGCGGCCCTTGACGCCTTGGCTCGCCAGTCGTCCCTATCCGAGGACAAACTTCTCTCAATACAAGGCTATTTAGAGAGCCAAGATGAATCCATTAGAGACGCTGCATTCACGGTCATGGGCAGCCAGAAAGATTTGCCGGACAGCATCATTTCCACCATCGCCGCTTTTGTTGACAACCCCGATGGGCCCGGGCATGGAGCCGCGCTCGAGATCTTAGGCAATCAACACACTTTGCCCCTGGATATCATTCGTAGCCTGGTAAAGTCCGTTGAGTCCCAGCATATCTATACGAAAAGACATGCCTTCGAAGTACTCAGCAATCAAAGAAATTTGCCCGAGGATGTATTGCGTGTTCTTGTAGCCCATTTGGAACCCGATTCCCCAGTCATCCAGCAGGCAGCCATCGACGCCATTAGAAATCAACCGAAACTCCCGTCGAGTGTATATGAGGATATTCTACCGCTCCTAGAGAACTCTGATCGGTGGTGTCGGTGGGCAGCCGCCAGTGCCCTTGGAGGAAAGGCTATCTTGCCGAAGCAAGCACGTCTTCGCCTAGGAGAAAAACTTGATGATTCTGACGCGATTGTACGACTCGTAGCTATTCTATCATTGGGCAGAAAATCCGATCTTCCAGAGGATTATCTTCTTCGGATTGTGGACAAACTTAGAGACGGGGAAGTCACCGTTCGCCGAGCCGCCACCATTGTCTTACGCGACTACCCAAACATACCCGACAGCGTACTACAATCTGTGGAGGCTCTCCTTCGGGATAAGGAAAGCTATGTCAGGCAAGCGGCCGTTCAGGTTTTCGGCGGGCGACCTAACCTGTCAGAAGACCTGTTGCTATCCCTAGTGGAGCGAATCTCGGACAAAGACAAGGCAGTGGCGGCCAGTGTCATGGGTGCCCTAGGCGGGCAGGCCACTCTATCTGAAGAGACGCTCCGACTCTTGATAGAAAGGCTTCAGAATAGGGGGAGCGAAGAAGTGCGAAAGGGAGCCATCATGATTTTGAACAACTCGTCTGGGAATGCATCCATCAACCTCAGCGAACTGTCCACATTTCCACTACTGATGAAGCACGACGCGTTTCGACTGGCCGGCTCACAAAAGATCGATTTTCTGGAGATCTTCATGTCTTTGATGATCCAGTGCTCGGAAACTCACCTGGCATGGTATGTCCACGAGGGGAACTCGTGTATTGAGACGCAGAGTGGTGTGCAGCGCCTAGCCCTAGAAGATGAAAGGGGATTCCGAGAGGCCATCGAAGGGTATCAGAAACAATTTAGAATGCCTGGGACGAAAGCAGGGGAACAATCGACTGGAGGTCCGAACTCGGGACCTACCTTGTTCAATCGACTTATGCGCACTTTCATTCCTTGGTGAGTGCCTGGAGGGAGTCTTATCTACATTGCCCATTCTGAGCTTGTAGCTTAAGAGCCCGAGTTGGCTATATTATCTGATCATCTTTGCTATCTGCTCTGCTCTGCTGTTTCTTCGCTTTTTACCAAGTAGAACGAACGTGAAACCATAAATGTAAAGTACTGTACTGTATTAAGATCCCAAACTATTTCTAAGTTCAAAATGATCAGGTTTCCGTAGCTTCGAGCGAATTCACGGATCAAAAGTCAATGTTGCTGATAGATAAGCATACCATATGCAAAGATTCATACTTCATCATAAAATTACCCATTAGAATTGGCCAGAAGCATCTTCTGCCAATGTATCCTTCTTTTTGTTTTTGTTAACCCGAAAAATCAACGCTAGTCCATGCTTTTTGTTGGTCGGCTTCTGTGTCGCCTAATTAAAATACACATTCCTCTCCTCCATTCCACTAACAAACTGCTCTGCCCTCTTGACCATTGACAGAGGGCCAGATACACCGCCAGGCCATGAGGGGGCCTGGTCCTCTGGATGATCGCCAAATTCACCACCGGAGAGGCCGCTGAAGGATACCTCACATAGTCCGGTGAGGCATCGAGACGAGAGACTGTCGCGCAACATCTCGAGCGCGTTGAACCAGGACCCGTCCAGCAAGTCCACCTTGTTCAGGCTCAATGATTCGATGCGACGACCGAGAGATCTGCAAAGATCCTCCAGGTCCTGCTGAGACAAGGCGGCATTGCTGATGCTCATGTGTCGCAGGTCGGTGCTCTTCATAAATGTCAAGGCCGAGCCGATGTGATAGTATCCAGGACGATGACCATTGTCATCATCCCCGTTGTAAGCCACCATATCAAGATTCAGCTTCTGTAGATTGGTGCTTTCCAGCATCGAGCCAAGATAGGCGTCCATCGCAGACTTGTTCTCATCATTGAGATGAGACCGACCGGCTGCTGATGAGGCCAGGGTACCGAACTCAAATGCACGCAGCTGGTGGGCGGCATCCTCGAGGCGTCCCTGTGCTCCCTCGAGCGCGGGTGACAGAGCCAGCGAGTGATCCTTCCGGTGGGGGAAGCAGCCATTGCTCAGATTCCGAAGCGCACCGCCAGCTTGCCACACAGCGACGGGCAGTTCCGAGAGAATCTGGGCGGGGACGAGCTTGGCATCAATGTTCTCAATGGCACTCCACGACTGCGGCCTGATCATGAACTCTGCAAGGATGTCCTTGTTCAAGATGGACGAGAAGTAGTCTGCGGCGAACGGGCTGGTGTTGTGGCCACGCCCGTCAACGAGGCCGAGGGACACGGGATGCCCGACCCTGGCGATGGCGGTTGCAATCGACTGCACGAATGACCCGTCGGCGATTATCTGGGCCTGCTCCTCGTGGGCCTGCTTGTACACTTGGAATCCCTCGCGCAGCATTGC